CCAAAAAAAAAAAAAAAAAAAAAAAAAAAAAAAAAAAAGTTCTCACCACAAGAAAAAAAAATTTGTAACAATGTGTGGTGATGGATGTTAACAAGACTCACTGTGGTGATCATTTTGCAATATATACAAATATTGAATCATTATGTTGTACACAGGAAACTATAATGTTGTATGTCAATTATATCTCAGTAAAAAAGTGAAAATAAAATTAAAGTAGAAGAAAATTTGAAAAAACAAAGAGAGGCAGGGAAAAAAAAAAAAAAGAAAGCTTTACTTTGCCCCGGCTTCCAGGCCTCCCATGATTGGACCCCTGGCTACCCTGATCCGCCTCAGCACTTCCCGTCCATGCTCACTCCACCCAGACACGTCAGCTCCCTTCTAATCCTCGAAACAAGCCAGGCTCACCCCCTTCTCAGTGCAGTGCTTTTGTTTTTCTCTCTTGCTGGAAGGATCTTCCAGGAAGAATTGTCTCCTTCCACTCAGGGCTGCTTGACTGTCACATCTCTGACTTGTAGGTGAACTACCTACATCCTCCTTCCTTCCCTTTATCTTGCTATACTTTTCTTCCCAGCATTTCTTAATGATTTATTTGTTAACTAGTTTACTTTCTGGTTCCCAAAGCTAAATGGAAGCTCCGTGAGGCAGACACTTCTCTCTCCCATTCATCCCTGTGTTCTCCCTGGCATGAGGGAAGTACTCAACAAATACTTGTTAGATGGCAAATGAATGACGCATGGTTTAGTGCTGGGTATGTCACACAGAGATATTGAAGGCTATCCCTGCCCTCAAGTAGCTTACGGTGGTCCAACCTCTCCTCCCACTGGGACCAGGGCACTGGCTGGCAGGTGGACGTGTTTCAATAAATGATGGGCAAGGAAGATGAAAGAAGAATTGCTAGGTCACTTAGTAGGGAGGTAGCTAAGTTCACACATTTTCTGTTAATTGTTGGGTCCTTCTTGACCTCAACCTGCGGTTCATATTTAAAGCAGCAGCTTCTCCATCAAGTTCTACAAAGGTTGAATTTCTCTGTTCTAAGGAGACTTCACATTCTGCCTGCAGCAAGGAAATGATAGCCTCATGAAATGTTTATCTACTAGAGCCACAGAAAGAGAATTTATGAAAACCATGTGGATATACATCAAACACTTGTCTTTGGGTAATCACACCGACTGCACAGACATAAACAAAATATTCTCCCAAAAGGTCACCTTCACACCAACCATTTCAGCCCCTTGCTGATCCCAACTTGATATCTTGCATCAAATCCTCCTTATTGTTGTGGATAACAATGGTTGATTTTTGAAGTCATGAACACATTAGATTACACAGTTGATAAAGAAATGATCATGTCATAAACTCCTATATTAAGACAACTTACACAGTGCACTTTAGCCAAATATATTAACGTGACTTATCAGAACTACTATAAAGATTAATTACCTCCGTTTTGCAGTGCACTCAGTAACAGAAACAACACCTGGAATTTATATAGCACCTTTCCCCTTAAGGGCTCAAAACTTAGAGTAGCTGACTGCTCACTCATGTGAGGTGAATTAATGTTTACAGGTCTCCTGAGTACCATTAGCCAGTGACTTCATCTGGTGTCATATGTGGCATTCTGGTACCCTAATCTCTTATTGGGCCTCAACTGGATAAACAGCATGTGTCCAGAGAGAAGTGTCATTCATGTCAGCACATCATAATATTGAGCTCTATTTGAACAGGGACCAAAGGTGACAAAATTAAAAAGTTCTCAATAAAAAGACTTTTCTTGCATAAAAACACATTGCAGGGGCTGCCCTGGTGGCGCAGTGGTTAAGAATCCACCTGCCAAGGCAGGGGACACAGGTTCGAGCCCTGGTCCGGGAAGATTCCACATGCCGCAGAGCAACTAAGCCCGTGCACCACAACTACTGAGCCCACGTGCTATAACTACTGAAGCCTGCACGCCTAGAGCCCGTGCTCCGCAACGAGAAGCCACCGCAACAATGAGTAGCCCCCACTCGCCACAACTAAAGAAAGCCCACGCACAGCGATGAAGACCCAATGCAGCCAAAAAATTAATTAATTAATTAATTAATTAACTAAAAAAAACCCACATTGCAGTGATACATCAGACAGTTTAAAAGAGAACATCGGCAACATTTCACCATACTTTCTTCCCCATTCTTTCATACATACATACATGTGAGAAAGATTCTTCATGGGCTGAAACATTTGTGTGTTTATACTTGGAATCTCTATCCTTTCCAGGTCTCTGGAAAATATGCACAATAGGCTTCATGTTTTTAGGATTTAACTTTTAAATCATTGTATTCTTTGTCAATCTTAAAAACCATGCCTCAAAATCTTGTTATAAATTCAAATTAGTTTACAATAAACTGTCTTAGAAAACTGCCATTTCTATTTATGCCTCCTGTAACTTGGAGCTGACTTATCACTTTCATATGCAGAACAACCTTCTAATAAAACACGTTCATTCATTTCTTTGATTTAAAAATGACAGTTGTGATTTGTATGATTGTGAAACTGGCTCTGTAGTTTGATTTTATAAACCACGAAATATGAGTTAGAGGGTTTCAGACAGGACTTGATATTTTCAGCCTGAGTTCTGTCAGAATCTGGATTTAAATACAGTAATTTCTTCCTGGCCTAGGTATCTTTAAGGTAGAAAACCATGGAAGCAATAACAAAAGGAGCTCCGATTCAGGACAATCATTTTCTAAGACAACAGTGGGAAGCATAAGTCCTGTAATTCCTCCAACCCCATAAAATGTCCACACAGGGCTCCAATGATAACCCCTAACACTCCTCATTTATCCAGAAGCTTCTTCAAATATGGATTCTTAGAAGACAGTTTAGGATGGCATGAATTAAGGGAGTCTGCCACGTTCTCAGGAAACATAGACGGAAAGAGGATAATCTAAAAAGATAGAAACCTTTTGCTTTTTAAAGGCTTATTTTGAAAGATGTTCGATTCTCACTCAGCTTCTTTTGGGCAAATCTGAATAAGGATTTCTGGACAAGGTTCTGAGTTTTCCTTTGCATACTGAGTCCTTTATAGAGGACCTTGGTGGTCAGAAATGAGACTTAGGAAACAATTCTACCACTGAATCATCACAGGGCCCCTCCTGCAGGAAACTCTGGAGTCCTTTTTAAAGGATTCCACCCCCCTGCCCTCGCTTCTTTCTTTTGCTCTCTAGCTTCTCCTGAACTTATCACAATTTTACCATTACATGGATTATGTGATTATTTGATGAATAGCCTGTGGTTTTCAAAAGAGCAGAGGCTACTATACACTGAGTGCCCAAGACAGTGCTATGATTAAGTTGGTGGCTAATAAATGTTTGTAAAATAAATGTGTAAATGAATCTTTAGAGAAAAGAAAATGAGACAATAAAGAAAGAAAAGAAATGAAGAAAGGGAAGTATGGGGTAAATAGTTACTACTTTGACTTTTCAGAAAGGCGTGATGTGTAACTTGATACTTTGCCTTTCGGAATTCAGTACGTAGTGAGTGAAGGGAAGATCATTTTGTCCACAGCTTCTGGCTTCTTGAGAGCAGGAACCAAGTCTTTTTCAACACTGGATGTTCACTAATGTCTATTGAGAATCTAAATCTTGTATTAATTTCCAACAGAAAACTATTTAGCAAGAATTAAAAAGTGATATTAAGGATTGGTCTTTGGAATTAAATGAAGAAAGGCTTTGGGCTGGGATGAGGTAAAGTAATATGCACTCTGTGGGGAAAAAAAAAAACAAACTTTAACCAAGAATGGCTATTCATGGGAGAGGAACTGATGCGGTTCAAAGAACAACTGGCAGAGTTCTTGGCACCATTTAAAATCTAGTACGTTTGAAATTTAAAAATACTAAACAATATTAATTGTCTGAATGTTCATATTTATGGGATAATATTTTCTTTACTGATTGAAAAGTAAAAAGCATGCTCTGAGGATTGGTATCAAGTAGACTGTTGTAGGAAAGAAGCAAGGGAAAAAGGGAAAAAGTAGAGAAGTCTTATATAATTTGCTATTTTTTTTTTTACCGACTGCTTAGTAACAAAACTATTGCAAATTTAATTCTTTGTGAAAAATGTAAGAGATTTTTCCATATGAATCCTGTTTTCAGGAAGGAGCTACATGTAGCTTCAAACACAGAAATGGTCTTGACACACACTGAATGGTAAAAAATGAGACTTTGTTGTCATTCAGTACATACTTGATGGTAATCATGATACTAACAACTGTCTGAGGATGCATGCTCAAATTAAAAGCCCTCCTGTGTGTCAAATACCTGTTTAAAAATAAATGTGGTCCTAGGTAAAGCACACACAGTAAAATTATAATCAACATATGGTTACACTTGACTTACAGAGACTGAAGCTGTTTAAGACTTTCAAACTGGTTCTTGTGGAGATACAAAAGAGGATTGGACGACAGATTCCTTTTGTGCCATTAGAAGGGAGGAGGAAAGAAGCATGAGGATATTATTATTTTGGAAACTCAAGATGTTGCCATTTAAATCTGATGACAGTGGGAAGGACTTACAGTTTTTGAAGAAGGTTCAGGTCTTTGAAAATGTGGGGTGGCAGCTCCATCATCATATTGCTAGACAGGTCCCTGTCGGTGACGGTGAAAACCCAAAGCAATTACATTGGAAATAAATGACAGAGTTATCACTCCTCACAACTGTCATCGTCCCATGTGACGTAACAGAAAATACAATCCAATTTAACCAACCTGATAGCTTGTTATGCAACAAAGTCATGTGAGTCAGCCAGATGGATATGTCTTCCATCGCTTTCAGACAGGTGACATTTGCTCATCCAGTTCCCATCTGGAATTTCCTCTCAGCCCCTCTCCAACACACTCCCAACATGGCTTCAATGTCTACTTTGATTAATTCCCTCTGTTTTAGGTACTCTTTGTACCTTCAACCATTCATTGTTTCTGTGATTTCTATTTGGTTCATGTATGTGATATCTTGTTTATCCAACTACATTAGAAGCTATCTGAGATCAAGATCGTTGTCTCCACTCATTTTGCATTCCAACTAAGAGAGTTTTGACCACATAACATCTGCCCAGATGATCTTGAATGGATAAGTTCACATATTTTTAGTCTACTTTTATATGGTACTTCTTTTTTAGAAGAAATTGAGAATTGAGATCTTAATATAATAGGGCTGTCCAATCCAGAAAGAATTGCAGGGCAGTGCCCCTACAGAATGGGAAAAAGAGATTTGTCAGGATAAGAAGGAATCAGGAATCTTGAAGGGTCCAAAATATCCTCTGAGCCAGAGAAGATGTTAATAGTGAAACAGATGTGAAATCGCCTAGGAGTCAAACGAAAGATATTATCTATTTTTGATTTTTTGGTGCTCCTGATGGATATATGGGAGCGACAAATAACTATGACTTAGTTCTTTCTCTAAAAAAGCTTACAGTTAGAGTAAACAACTAGATTATGAAACAAAAGAATGAAACAAGTCTTAATACACAAGTACAGAGGAAAAACAGAGGAAGGAATCATCAAACTTGGCCTGGGAAATTAGGAAGCGTTTGAGCAAAGTTTGATGATTTTTATAGGTGGAGTCAAAGAAGAGCAGATTTTCAAGTGAGGATTAAGCAGGACCAGAGAAACAGATGCTTGGAAGTCAGTGACATCTCCAGGAGTCAGCAAGCCGTCCAACGTGGGTGGAGGATAGAAAGGATGGGGAGATGTAGAGGAGGTGAGTCTGGAAAAGAGCCTGGAGACAGAATGGGAAGAGGCCGTGAATGCATTCCAAGGCAGTATTTCCCAGAGTACAGTTCAGGCTTGGAATCACGGAAGATGCTTATAATAAGAGCACTTTCCTGGTGCCACTCCAGAACTATCACACCCGAATCTCTGGAAGGGAGCCTGGTAACATGCATTTAAAGCCAGCATTCCCTGTGATTCTTCTGAACGTTAACATTTGAGAACTATGTCAAGGACTCTGCTTTATGGCAGGCAACAAGGAAGGAGAATGTTAAACTGGACAGTGGGAAAATATGCCCTGGGTTATGGGATGACAATTCTGTTAGAAGAATGGAAGATAGGATGAAACGCCAGAGATTCAGAGGAGGGAGACCTGGCAGGAGGCTGTGACCCTGGACCGGGTGAGAGCTGATACGGGTTGAAGGAGGCACTGGCAGGGTTTACGGTCTGATAGGACATCAAGTGTAAAGAGAGTTAGAAGGAAAGGGAAGAGTCTTCTAGCCAGGCTGCCAGAAAGAATGCAGATTCCACTAAGATAGGCAAGCCTAGGGGAAGAAGCTGGCTGTGGGGTAAGGGTCATCTGTAAATTAACTTAAACAAATAGATTTTGAGGGACTGTCATGACATCCAAGTGTAGACAGCCTGCCAGCTGGTGTTCTGATCTGGTGCTCCGGATGCAAGGAGCACAAGTGGGTCATGGCGCAGAAGAAAGCCACGGGTGTGCACAGATCAGAGGGAGAGTGACAACAAAACAAGATGACGATGACCTCGTACACCTGGAGAACGTCCTGCAAAGTGTTACCTTGAAAAATAAAGTACAGTCTTCTGTGCGGAAAGGATCCGAGTGGCCTCATCTAAGTGCTTATTCCTCTCTCCAGAAGGGGTTTGTGGTCAAGAAGGCACAGTAAAATTAACTAACATTTTTGTAAACTTAAGAAACGTAAATGCCTTGTTCAAGTTAATTCTACTGAGTTCTGAATTTCTTCTATCATACTGGTGCTATCTGGATTGGAATGAATTATTGGTGGTCCTAAAAGAAGAAAGCTAGCGTCTCTTATTTAGGCTCTTTTTTTCTGGCGGGGGCAGGGGGTTGGCTTTGTCTAAGTGTAGTATAAGAAGAGGATTAGGAAAATGTTCAGAATGTGGACTCCATACCACTGTCTCCTTTAGTTTGTATAAAAACACACTCCTGTTTGTCCTGGGCTACTCCTCCATTCCACCCCTGTAACCCACATCTGTATCCATCCTCCAAGGTCTTACCAGGAAGGCCCCTGTGAGAAAGCAGTGAGGTCTTCTGAGTGAGCTGTCTTTAATTTTTTTGCCGCAGAATGATAATATTTTAGTTCTAATGTGGTGCTTTGCACATTATAGGCACTTAAATATTTGTGGATTTGGTTTATGATACTCATTCATTAGATTAAATTATCTTATTTGTGAATTGTTTTTCAAATTCCTCTTATTGAACTACTTTTCACAGCCCTTTCTGGATTTCAAAGCAAGGTATAAAGAATGGGGGAGCAGGTGATTAAGACATTAATTTCCATTTTGTAGACTTCAGATCAGGAGGAGCTCTCTACCCTAATCACCACTATTTGTAATAAAACAGACAATGTTAAATGCCAGTGATACACCATTTTGCAGGTAGCGATGAATTAATAGCAAGGCAGATGATTTTCAAAAGGGTTAGATCTACACAACATATATTTGAACAGAAAAATGTACATGAGCTCTCTGAATATTTTGCAATAAGCCTCTTTCTAGACATTTCTATTTGCATCATCTGCTCTGGAAGTTATAATATCTTAAGGGATAATAAGCATGTTCATTCTTTTGTTTAGTTATAATTGATTAAGATTATTTCAGTCATTTATTCATTCAGCAAGCATGTACTGAGAATTAATTGTACTCCAGACATTAGAGAGGAGAATCCCTGAGCTTAAGGAGCCATGGAAAACTCATTTACTCCCAAACACACATAGGTATGAAATCAAAGAAAATAGGCAGAGAAATTAGAGTAGGCTAAATCCATATTAAGCCCACTGTCTGATTTTTAATTTGCTTTTAGGATAATGTTGGTTTTCTTAATTGATTTTGAATATCCAGTAGTCTACAGGATTTTGATTGCTACCAATGAAAAGCAGTCTCACTAGTCATTTAGATTTGTAATCCTGAAGAAGCAATCATATTTTCCTAGCAGACAATGCTACTTACAGTTCTCCTAAATTTTTTAATGAAGTAAATGTCTTCTCTGGAACAAAATCAATTTGATTTCTAGGCAGAAACCTGTAAGACATGGTAAGAGTCAGCACTGTTGATTTGTGTCTGCTGTAGTAATCAGTTCTCATTGGGAGATGCCATTGATCCGGGTGTAATTTAATAAGCCTCCTTTGAAGTCTCAAAGCAAGGCATGTTCTGGTGTGGAACACAGGCAGGAGTTTCTTACAGAGAATGTATCCATATGCTCTCTCCAGGACATGCTGCCGTAAGGAACTTGAGGTGCTGAGTGTGGTTTACGGAGCTGTACTTTGTTTGGATTCTGATTACTTTACAAAGTGTTTCTTGCCCAACATACACACATGCAATGTCAAATTTGGACCCTGTTAATAATTCTGTGAAGGCTTTGAGAGGATCTTTGGGTAACATTCCTTATAAGAAGAAGTCCAGAAAAAGAGCAAAGCTTGGACCAACCCCATCTGGGCCACAAACAAATTTTAAATTTGGTGGGGGAACAGTGATTTTTAATTTCCTCTGTCTAGAAATGGAATCCTCCAGGACAAACGGCAAAAAAGAGGGGGTCGTCAGCTAACTACCTTACAGGGGTGTAAACAAATGAGATAATGAGTATGAAGGTGATTCAAAAGCTACATGGTGTTATAAAATAGGAGGCGTGGGGCTTCCCTGGTGGCGCAGTGGTTGAGAGTCCGCCTGCCGATGCAGGGG